AGAGAGAGAGAACAGTAACAGAAATGACGTGCTATAAGAGCTTTAATAGCTTCTAAGGACAGGGCGATTTACACCCCCCCCCCTCCCGATGGGCCATTAACCCTCCAACTCTCCAGAAAAAGGAACCTTACCTAGTACGTGTCTTAAGTTAGTATGTTATTAAATCGAGCAGAGTCAACACCCGGACAGCCTTGGTGGGAAGGCCCCAGCGTTTTAAAACTTCCTGGCGATCCTCTCGCCCGACTAAACACTTCATGACCAGACCTCTACAGTACTGAAATCCATTTCTTGCCCCTTCTCCGAGCAGGACGAACAGAGAAGGCCCTGCCGCTTTTTTTTAATGTCGGCAATTTTTTGGATCATTTAGGAGGCAGGCTTCCGACGAGTCAGGGCCAACCCGGACTGAGAGGGATAAAACATCCCAGCAGAAAGATCTAGATGCTTGATAAAAATTCTCCAAACTCGGTTATCGAACTCTGGTCGCCAAAGTGCGACAGTGAAACGCCTGACCGCTACACCGCAAACGCCGGTGCATCTTAATGTTACAGAAAAGAGTAAACGCCCAGTGCCTAATCATTATTAAATATTAGTATAGTATAATACTTTAAATTATAGTACTGAAGAGGGAAATGTTATCAAGCAACAGCTTACGGCAAGGATTAAGCTGCAGGTTTTACAGCCCCACCGACATTCTAGACAGTAGAAGACGGTACTAAACCATTTGGGAGAAGGGCACCACTGTCTTTGCCTGTAACAACAAAAGTGGCCTGAACTAGAAACATTTTAGAAGAAAGATGTTGCGGCGATTCGATGAAACGGAGAGACTTCCTCATGTGGAAAACAAACTCGGAGCTTTTGTGCCCAACAGCAAGGGACGTATTGGACCACGAAAAGCAAGGCAGGATTTGTTTCGAGATTTTTTTAAGAAGTAAAAGGAACAGACAACATTTTTTTTTTTAATAGTAGAGTTTTACAGCATTCGCAACTGCATAAGGTCATATGAGCGCCAAGGGGTGGGTATCAACAGAGAAGTCTTTACAGGGAATCAGACTTAGACTGCTCACCTCTCTAGTTTCAACAGCAGAAGGTCTGTTTCGACTATCAAGGCACCCCAAAATAGCAGATCACAAGGGAGTGACAAACGTACAAAAGAAGTAGAGGAAAATGACAATAGTAAGGATCAGGAAAGAAAAAGCAGCAGTTCCCTGTTGTAGATCAGGCACAGTTATGAGCGTGGCATGTCAGCCCATTTACAATTCTACTATGCTTGAACGAGATATGTCCCACCTTTGGGAATGGCCTAAAGACATATCAGTCAATTGCACTGCCCCGGGGGGGGGTGAAACAGACAACATTATAGCACCCATCATCAATCAGCAAAGGAGAAACAAGCAAATAAAAGAATTAGCTGGAAGGCTGGACCTTCCAGTCCCCCCCCCGCCCTTGCTAAGACACCTGTGTTGTAAAAATGATCTAATTAAAACAGAACTAACTTGTGAGCTCACATCAGTTTCTCTCACTTGGTCTTTGAAAGAGGGTTCGTGTTACCCTTGTTGTCGCAATCATTCAGTTTTTTTTCTTGCTTTGTCAGTTGCCTCGGAGAATAGAATACAGCAGTCATTGCACTAGTCATTCAACACGTGTGGCAAACGAGCAGTGAGTCACTTAAAGTCGGTGAGTATGTATTTTAGTTTCAGTCGTTCAGATATTATTCGGACTCTCAACAGTCTTAACTAAGGTTTCAGTGTCCCTTTCATGAAAAAAAAAAATCAATCTTGCGATAAAAATGGCTTTTAAAAAACAGGGGGGGGGGGTTCCAAGAAACTTGTAGGTACGTGTGATGCACTTGTTCCATATGAACAAACAAACAAAGAGACAAACAAACAAACAAACAAACAAAACAGAATTAAATATTTGGTCTGGAGGGGCACGTCAAAACTTGAGAATATTTTTCAAGACTTTTATAACCCCAGGTTTTGGACAAGAAAAATTGAGCACAAAGTAATCTAGGAAAAATAATTAAAAAACAAGGTACCAGATACAAGTACAAGACACACATTAGCAATAGAAAGTCAAAGAAAAGCAGACTGTAGGGGCCAAATTCTCATAATTAAATCCCAACCCAAAACAGACATAACTGGTCAGCCCCAACTAAAGCCCAGTTACACTATAAAAAATGGGACTTGGGGTAAGAACATTGAAAAAGAAGTTATACATGTACATATATAGATCTACTACGGGTAAAAAAAAACCAGTATGATGAATGTATGTACCCATAAATCTAGCAGAGGAGCCCATAGGAATAACAGTAATAAAATGCAGCTCCGAGTCTTTAGAAAATGTTGATGTCCAGGATGAGAATTGAGCTGGCGGATCTTGCTTGACACAACACCACAGATTTGATTGTGGGCGATATAAACTCACCATGCTATTTCAAATCATAACAATTCATAGCAGAAGTGAGATTGATAGTGTAAAAACTAACCTCAATACATTGTCTTGTATAACGTCTAATTGCATTTCCCTCAAGTACATGTACTATTCACATTAACTTAGAGACTTTCAAATAATAAAAAAAAAAAAAAAAAAAGCTTCTGCTGATCAGTGAGTTCACAAACTCATGAGTTTAATAAAGCAAAAGTGTAACAAAACTTGTACTTTCACATAAACAAAGACAAGGCTTCAGTTATTTATTTTTCCCTACCAACACGACAAAATCGTCTCACAAGTAATTTTCACTTTATTGTATTTCCAAGTAAACATCACATTCAATCCTATTCAGATCACTGATAAATGGATAGACACTCAGCACTGGTCCATTCAACACAATCCAGTGCACATCATAAAATATATCTTTGCAGTCGCAAAACAAATTTCATAATTCTACATCTTTCACTTACATGAAAAACAGGGTCCTATACTGTTACCTGTTTTTCTCGCGACAGCAATGCATTTTTACACAATCAATCTCTATAAAAGAGTTTGTATTTTTTTAAAATATTAGCCTGCTTTCATTTGTACATTATCATTTATTCCGTTTCTTTTTACGCAACTGCTTTTATTCAATAGCCACCTCTTGCTTTTGCTGAATTATGGACAAAATAAATGACAATGTCAAAGTAAATCAATAAATCAACAAGTCTAAAAGGGATGTCTGTGTCAGATCATATGTGTGGTTCACACTTCATTCACTCTGTATGAGCTAACCATAAACTTTCGAACAGCCATGCTCAAATCACAGTAACAGGATTGACATAAATAGGTCCCAAATTTAATCTATGTACACAATATTTTACGAAAATTACTCTTTTAAAAATACAAAGTGATCCATTACAGAACAATGGTGACATACCACAGACATGCATACACTTTCACAACACACACCACACCTAGCACTATACAAAGAATAGTTTCTTTTTATCGATGGAAATATCCAAGCAACACCCAGAGTCATGACTCAACCTCTCAACTCCCATTGACAAGAAAGACTAAGTGAAGTGAAGCGAAGCACAGACTGCTTTTACAATCAGCAAGCTCACTTTACAGTCACTAATTACTTCATGAGTCATACAACTGAAGACTTTGTGTGTGAGTGGAGTAAAAGAAAAGATGGACTAGAAACTGTAATGGCATGCGTACTGGTCTCTTTAGCTCACAGTGACACCAAGTTCTTCCCCTTTCTAGTCCTTGAGCTGTGTTCCTTTGCTCTTTATGATCCTCCAAACAACATTCACCGCAAACACTTCACTGTCGACAAATTGCACTACCAACTTTCCCAATCATGATAACCTGAAGAAGAAATAACAGCAACAAAATTGCACATGGCTGCGAGGGAGGAAGAGGTATAATCATTAAAATGAATAAATGCCAAAGCCACTCTTGTTGGCATGGAATCGGGCCTTGAGACATTTATTACGTTCATCAGTGATTAAACCAGATAATTATGTATCATCAAAATTCAACATGGAATAAGCTTTGTTAATCAACATGAGCAGAATTCTTTCATAACAAGGAGACTCTTGGTCTTAGCCATTTGTGTTGCACGCACGCACGCATGCACAAAAGAATCCTGTTCCTCTGAACTTTTGTACCTTCTTTTTTCTTACAAACCATTCATAGGAAAGAAGACAAGACAACCAAACTGAATAGAAAATACAATTTTGAATGCAGTCGTCTTGTCTACAGTCAAATTATTTTTGACAATATAGAGATTTAATTGATTCTTCCTCTTCAATTTTCCATTTTCCAAAACCTTCAAAATGCAATATAATTGCAAGCTACAACCTGATTTCCCTGAACATATTTCCTACCTTCCCTCCGCCTGTGTTCCTTGCCACCATAATGTCTAGGCTGGTAAGGTTTCCGGTGGAAGCCAGACTTGAATCGAGCATTACCTGCAACAAAAATTAAAATTGTGAAAAAAATTTAAGTGAAGAAACCAAAACCAATCTTGCCAGCCGTTATAACAGACAAAGGTCATTTTCCTTGAAATAGTTCATTAAAAAATGACAATCAAGTGATGGACAGCACAGTAGAAAGAGGTAAAAACATCAAGAAACATCAACTCAATGACTGCATAGTCTGAGTTTTCACAAAGTTGTTGTCTCATAGTCATATACAGTCAAACCTGCTCCAACAGTCACTTGCCCAAGACAATCACATGTACAAAGATCACTTCACTCACATTTCCCCCCATTGGTTTTTTTTTTGCTGTATCATAATGACACAGTTGAGGATATCTACCTGTTAAAGACAACCTCTTTTCTCCCTGATAATGGGGGGGCGAACGGTGACCAAAAAAAGCGTGCTCTTGCGCAAACATGATATTTTGTGACTTTGGAAGGGGAGTAACCTAAAGTATTTTTTAAAATTTCATTGATTGTTGTGAACTACCTCGTATCTAATCTCCTGCAGCGGGTTGCATCAAAGAGCTGAGCTTGCCCCAAACTGTAAAGTTTCTTTACGCTGAGCAATCACAGACAACAAAGGTCATATCTGTGGCCCATCCCTCTCACACTGTCTGCCCGCCACGCATGGATGGGCACTGGCTTTCCTCACTGCCTAATTCTGTCTCAAACTATGTCTTGTCTTTTACTCCCTGGCAAAGCCACAATTCCAAGTAATAAAGGAAGGCATGTGGTGTTAGCTTTGTTTCCATCAATTCCAAGTGAAATGAAACAAGTCATGTACATTCATATGGCTGATCCATTTCTGACTAGCACAGGAACAATTGTGCTATTAGACAGAATTGTCAATTTGGAATGTGTCCTTAACAGTGATAATTGTGTAGAAAAAAATATGTTCTGTGCTACCAGTTTCCTTTAAGGCGGGTCATGCTTTTACCTGGTGTGCTATTAGCCAGAAACCACTGTATTTTCATATCAAAGGTCATTCTTTCATCTGTTTAATCATATACAACTCTAGGTGATATGATGTGAAGGAGAGTCATATCAACAACATGGAAACAGCTTTGTCATCAATCCACATCACCCTCATGAAAGTAATGCAGCAGCTAAGCTTGCAGCATGCATCACCACGAGCAAGAAGTTTAGCCATTGACTGGAGTTACACAGTACTGCAGAAAAGTGCAGGGATCCTTCAATTGGACTAACAAACTCTGTGTCTAAGAAACTTTTAAAAAAATAATTTCTAACATTAGTTGCCATTTTATTCAAACTTTAGGTAGGAACACTTCTCATGACCTTTATGAAATACTGCATGAATTATGAAAACATCAACAGAAATTTCAACTCCCTAAAAATCCCCCAAAAGCAGAAATTGTAGAAAAAAGAATTGGGGGGGAGAGAAGGAGTAAAAAATCATAAACTTGGATTTTCAACCTTTAACAAAATTGTGCCGACAAACATAACTGTTCTAATGGATATGGACTGTGGCTTGTATTTATACCTTAACACATTACACCCTAAGGGCCTGGACGGGAAGTCCATTCCAAGATCCTAAGCAAGGGGAAGGAACCCACCTCCCGTAAATACAAGCCTTTAAAAAATACATTTTTAAAAAAACCTAAACAAATTCCAAAAATCCTGAAAAAATAAAAGTTAAAAAGAAAACTGAATGTAGTTTCAGAAAAAAATAACTTTATGTATGCGCAAATTGTTGGAAATGTTCTAACTTTAGTTCAATCGGGGTGTCCGACCCGTCACTCTCACTCTCAGCCTTGCGGTCCGTCCCTAGATCTGAATTCTAGATTTTCTACGTCTGATCAATCTGAATCACCCCAAACTCTTGCTACAACGTTTTCATCAAAATCTGAGCCATCTGATTTGTCACATGATTGTTTTTGCTCAAATCCATCGTTATTTCCATTTTCGAACTCAATTGTGTTGCTTTTCAACAAGTCGAGACACTTTCAAAGTGTCGGTAACGCGATTGCACTTTGATCAGCTCTAATACTGTAACTACAGGCCCGAAAAATTTCGTTTCGGTATCAAACAAAAGAAGAAACTTTTTGCTATGACTATGCAAATCAAAATCTCGGCCCCAGAGTCTCGTCAAGGCGAGACGTCGTTTCTAAAGACGCTAGGTCGGCGCGGGCAGTTCCGGGCGAGTCAGGGTGGAGCGTGTAAGGGAATTCGCGGGCGATCCCGGGCGAGTTAGGGTGTAATGTGTTAAAACAGAGAACTACCTTTAGATTTTATCTTAGCCTGAAGTCTTGACAACACTTCTAGTTCTGAAGACACTGTTTGGCCAGCCTCCTTGAGAACTTTGATGAGGTCGGGTACCTGAAACAATTCAAAATACACACTTTATAAGACCAAGGCCATACACAAGTTATATCTAGTCAACACAGAGAACTATAGAATATCTAAGACATAACACAACAAAGAAACTGAAGAATCACAGCATGCAGCTGTGAACTGAACACTTTCTTAACTTACAATCAGAACCGGCCAGAGAAAAGCACAAAACAAAAAAATAACGGAGAAACTGAATAACACACTCATATTGAGGACTGAACACCAACAAGAAAACTTCCAGTTGAAGGAGGGATGGGTGCACGAAAAATTTTGAGATGGCATCATTGGAATCCCTAACCCATATTCCATTAAACAAAATATACGCAAAGCAGGTGGAACCCACTGAGGGTAAAAAGATGATAAGCTATTTTCTATCTCCTGGTCTTGTCCTACAACAAGGTTAACCCTAGATTTTTTACATTTTTCTCCCAACCATCCCAGTGGCACTTTGTGCCTCTTTAGAAATAATCTCATTAATGATTAAAACACTTCAGGCTAAAAACATCATTAACTTAAGTGGGACATGAGCTCATATTAATAAAATGGCTTTTTGAACCCAAGCCATACCTTTCCAGCATCATCATCTGTAATGAAACTGACAGCTCTCCCAGTCTTGGAAGCACGCGCCGTGCGGCCGATGCGGTGGATGTAGTCGTCAGCAGTGTTGGGATAGTCAAAATTGACCACAAGTTTAATGTCGTCCACATCTGAAATGGCAAAATCAGGAACATAAAGCATTCTGGTACCATGACATCTCTGCCAACAAAAATTAGATTTTTTTAAAAAAGAAAGAATACCATTATCTCAGAATAAAAGTGCAATGAGTAAAATATGCTCTTTACAGATCCATGCTTTTCTAATGAGGCATTTTTAAAAATCCTATTATGTGTATGAGTAAAGGCACAGTCACTTCTTGAAATCATGAGGTCCACTCTGCAAAAAAAAAATTTTTTAAGCAAAAAGTCCCAGACTTATTTGAGCAATATCATAAAAGGTTGGTTTAGACAATGAAAATGTTAGGTCATATTGATTTGCACCAAATAATTCTACAACATCACATTTCCTCCCCATGCCTCCCCCTCCTAAGTGAAAATGAAAAAGACCAACTGCCTTTTTGCACTCGGGCTAAGCATATCTCAGTCTAATCATAAGTATGGGGTTCGATTCAGTTTGAAATGTGCAGGCTTTTATCTAAAAATCTCCAATTGACTATTGTATTCCTCAAAATGCAAAAAAGCACTAATGCACCTCATGTTGGCTAACAAAGAAAGGGGAAAAAAAACTAAAAACCAGCAAATAAATCATAAATGAATAGGTTGCTGGAGAAGTTGAGGAAAAAAATGGTACAGATTCAACAAAACCTTGATCAAATAATATTTGCTTGCACTTTTAAAAAAATGAAAGGGAAGCGTTCAAGAAAATAAGGATATAAAAACCTTTATTTTGATATTAAACACTTCCTCCCTAAAAAACATGAACATGACATCCACAAGAAACAACAATTTTATCTTTAACAAATCATTTGAGAAAAAAAATCAATTTATACTAGAAAAGAGCCTTAAGCACCTCTTGACCTCAAAGCTAACTTTAAACTCAAAAACGAAAGACAAGACACTCAAGAAAAGGCGGCTGTCGTAGCCTAGAGGTAAAGGTGTTCGCTTCTCATTCAAAGGTCCTGGGTTTGACTCCGGGGCGACGGAAAAATTTTCTTCTCTAAAACTGTCTCCTTTCACCTCCTTTCATGCTCTTTAGCAATGTTCTGTCGTCTGCTTTCGTCTCCACTTTCTGCCAGCACCCCTTCACCTCCTTTGCCCCCTCCTCTGGGCTCCTAACTCTTTCTGCAGCCTTTCTATTGCTACTCCTTTGCTCCTTCTTACTGCTGTCTTTCAGCCACCCCCTTATCTTCCAGTAGGAAAGATCTACACCTAGCCTCCTCGGTTAACGGCGAAAAATCTCGGAGGTCCCGTGTGCAAGTTGTGCACGTTACAGATCTCTTGGTGGTCCAAAATCGATAAGAGTAGGCTTCGGCCGTCACCCGGGCAAAATTCAAAATTCCCTACCAACTGAAAATGTTTGGTGTGTCCCGCATGCTCATATGACCTTATGCATTTGCAAGCGCTGTAAAACATTTACCACTCTTTTGTACTCCTCTCAGCCCAGCTACC